CCGGATAATCGAAAATCCACAATGGACCCCACGATTCGCTCCGATTCCTGTTTGGACAGAGGCACACTTTGGCTCCGCGTGCAATTTCCATCAATCGCGATTTAACGAGGACGCTCGACGTCGTGGACATGCGAGCAAGTGTCTTATTGTTTCCCTACTCTGCCCTGAACGCTGGGCGTCTGACCAAGTCCGTCTTATTCTACTTAGCGCGCTTCCCGCAGTTCGTAGGTTAGGCTGTTTAGCTTAGAGTTGCGTGAATTATTGAGAGAAATTTTGGGGTTGTCCTAGGCGTAGAATTTAATTGAAGTAAACGTACCATTTATTTATTAAGGGAAACCACACAACTTTTAATCGTCCCTCAGTCGTATTTCAAAAGAGCCTTATAAGATGAAATTATTTTTGGATTATTTACACGTTCGTGATTTAAATGATATTTAAGTCGAATGGGAGGCAGCTGAAGTAAAAGAATAAACAGTCTTGGACACGATCAGTGGTCTGTCGTAGCCTGTCCTATTCTACTTAATATACTCCTACCTTTCGGTTTCGTCATTGACTACTGTCAAACTGTTTAACCTAAATTTTTTTTTTTTATTATTTGATAGGTGTAAGAGGGCATTATTAATGATTTAATTGATATTCAAGTTAAATAGGAAGAAGCTCCACTGTTGGTCTGTCTATGTCTGTCCTATTCTACTTGACGTTCGCCTACTTTGCAGTTTCTTTTTGCTCTACCCCAATAGACACAAACAAAAGCAATTCTTTCTTATGTGTAAATCGATTTTAACGTACAAACATGCTGTCTTGCTTCAACATTGTATATTTTGTTAACTCTAAAAACAATCGTGTCCATAACTATTGGTAATTTTGTCATAAAAGCAAACGTATACATACGTGTCACTATCCCTCAAGAGATCAAAGGATTAATTCTTAAACAATCTCCAGCTATAGCGATTTTGTCCTCGTAAGTAGGGTTCGAAGAAGTATTCACCGCCTACGGCGTCCAATCATGCTTTTATTTATCTTGATTCCACGATATGGTATACGGAAGTCAACCGATTGCCCTCGACGCCATAACAGGGCACAGTGCATCATTGTTATCGAGCAGGAAACAGATTACTCTGCCACTGCTCCGCGTAACGATGCCTTAGGTGCTATCGTATCTTCGTTAATCCAACTAATAGCAGTTTATTAACGGCCATTACCTACAACACAGAGCGCGTGGCCCCCTTCAACCGTCCGAGTGGCTACGAACGACGAAGATCAACGATATCGCGAGGACGCGTTGAGAAACCGGCGCGTTCGTTTTTAATGCTACACGTTCGAGTCTCGTTGTAATTTCCGGGTGTGACGTACAATTAGTTCCAGTTTGCGAGGCAAAACCCGTGCAGCGGGTCTCTGGCATCTGAAACTTCGCGGAAGAGCTGACTCATTTCGGTTCTTGCCTCGCAAATCATCCGGCTAATCGAGGAGGGACTGGATATTCTTACGCGGAGGAGGAAAAAAGAATTTATCGCAATCCCGTGAAAACTAATTTGCGTGGATCCCTCTGATAGGGATCTATGACGCAGCGAAGACACGAATGCATGGATCGATAATTGTCTTTAGTGTCCCGCCGCATGCAAAGTGACCTCTTACGCGCAATCGTGACTTCATTAGCTGGATTAACTGCAAGCTATTAGGGGACATTTTTTCGCTGTAAGACACTGCCTTGTTTTTGCGCTCGCAACTTTGTTTTTTATCGAAGCTTATTATGAAACGTAATTAACCCCTGACGTCGAGTAGGAAAAAAAATGTAATTTGCGTAGGAAGGTATTTTTTCCCGGAATATACCTAGCGTTTATTCGGGAATGAATTGAACACTGAATTGTCGAATTGTTAGTTTCGTTACCCCGTGTTCGACAATGTAAAGTCACGTGGATATAATAGAGTAATTAAAGCCAAAGCGCAGGATCCGAATAGCGAGGTGAATATTATTCGATTTAATTTAGCATGAATTAGTGCATAAATTAAATTTAACGATATACACTATTGCGTTTGGATTCTGTAATTATCTCCAACTATCGTGGCTATTACCTTCGCATAATTTTAAATAAACATGAATTTATGTTTGCGTCCGTAATAAGCTCTGCACTAAATCTAATTGACATTACTTTTCAGAAACCTCTAGTTTACTCTGAGTAGTAAAAAGAAACATTCTTTTTACCACTTTCGAATTAATTTAAAAATTAATGCTTAAGGCCTTGAGCATCAAGAATGTAACAAAAATCTGTTAAAAGAATACCTGTTTAAATTTGGTATTCAACTTTGTAGTTTAAAATTTGTTTAATGTGATTTGGTGGACTTACTTTAAAGAGCTTGAAAGAATCTATTTTTAAATTCAGAAAAGAAGATCGTCTCTTTAATTGCAGGAAGATCCCTCGAAGAAAACAGTAGCAACGCGAACGTACACTAACGCACAGACTCATATCGGTGTTAGCACGCTTATGCAGCACTTAGCCCCGCTAATTTAAATAATTGAGGTAATGCCTGGCTGTATGCAGCCCCCGAATAATTAGTACACTTTCTGCGAAGGAACGAAGCCCCATTAAAAGAAACACTAATTAAATTGAACTCTCCGCGGGTGCGTTTATTTGTGTAAAGTAATTGTTTCTACGGCGCGGTCATTTATCTTTCCATTTTGGATCTATTTAGTTTTCTAATTAGCCGAAGTTCCGCAAAACGAGAAGTTAAATTGGCATACCGTGGGGAAGTCTGAAACATACGTATGACTTTCTCTGCAACAATCGTTTCCTTGCTTAGCGAGTTCGCGACTTGAATAATAACATTGTAGTATATGTTAATTGCTCTGTACACGACACTTTTAGTCGGGTGACGCATCGTTTGGAAGATTACGTACAGGAATTTATTAGAAACGTTCTCTCCGTTACTGTCGTACAGGACGTAATCCACGTAACAGGAACATAATTAGTTACTAACGTTTCTATAATTATCTAGAACATACACGAGTCGGTGAGTTTTAGTTGGAGGAAATTATATCAATTAATTCGGCAAAGTTTCGTATCAACATTGAACAAGGAATCCACCTCGCCGATGGAAAGACTGAATTATCGTATGATAATACGGTGCCAGCAGAAAGTTCATCCGGATATTCGTTGAAAATGGTGTCAGATGGCATTAGCATTCGGTAGAAAAAACTTTCTGGAATTACTCCGATTCCCAGGAAGCGAAATGAAAAAGTTGAAAAGTTTCCGCAGGTCGAAGAGGACGCGTTATCGCGCGGCCCTTTGATATATCGATTAAAAAATTTCCCGGCTCGGCTATAACGTGATATTCTTGCTAGACTGAGAGTTTCTATAGGTCAATATTAACCTATTAGTTTAATCAATTGAACAGTATGAAATAAATTGCTTAGTCCATACAGGCACCCGTCAAATTATTTTCTTTTCATGGAATTTTCATATAGTTCTCGCGTCCTCACTTTCAATTTTCTTTTTTTAACAAAGCAAAACAATTCGTTCCTAATGAGGTTAAGAGCAGCCGAGGCATCGATTTGCACGAGACTTACTAAATCTTCGTTTTTGAATTAAATTGTCGACGGAGGCGTGACAAGCGCATTACCGCAACAATGAAGCGCCAAACGGTGGTGCGATTGCAAAGTCGTCGACTCGATTTTCAGCGTCAATATTTCGCCGTGTCACGAGCCCGAACGAACAATCGAGTTCAATTAATCAATCGGACTGGAAATTGCACAGAGAAGAGAGCCCGTCGTAAATTGGCGGTAAATTCCGTCGAGTTGGGAGGGCCTCGCGATTAAACCAGAGCTGGAGTCCCTTCAGAGATGAAACAAAGGGATTCGGGGAATTTGACACGTCGCCACTTTTTAACCATCCACGCTGGACTGTCCGCAAATCTTTTGGAGACATCCTCGATGTCTCTATCTAGAAATTATTATCCGTTGATATTAATTCTGTGTTTTTTATATTTATAATCGTAGTTTAAGTAGAACATCTTGTTGTTTTATTATAGTTGGAGATCAGTCTCGTACGTATACTGCGGATGTTGATGCAAATTAATGTTTTTTTTTAAACACAGGAAAAGAACTGAAAGTTGAATGAAAATGTTTTATCATTTGTACACGTTCTTATGGATTTCTCCATAATTACATTTGCCATAACAGCATAAACATCCGCATACTTAGCACAGTTCTAAAAGTGTCCACTCTACTCAAAGCAGCGTTTCAGGGAATAGAGTCAGACTGGTCAAACGCGTAATTGTATCAGCCTATCGATGCGTATCCACTTTCGCATTTCCTGCATTGTGAATTATACACTATTCCGTGGAATTGCCATCCGATGGAGCCGTTCCCTATCGAGAGATCACGTATGAACGTCCATTAGAATTAAAACGGCCACGTTCCGCCGCTTTCCTCGATTAAGCTTATTATTGGATTCGCTTTGTGTACAGATTAGGCGGTCGTGACGCAGTTGAAATCGAATAACGGAAAATCGTCGTGCACCGTGACTAGTGTTAGGATTTTTCAAATCTGGGCTTCCGATATGGCTGCTAAAAACGTGGACAAATTTGTTCAGGATAAGTTCTCTTTTTGGCAATCAATCGCAAAGAAATGAAATTTATGTAGGAGCCTAAAACGGAAAAATAAAGGACGGAGATTCAACCCACGATCCTTGGATCCACAGTCGACCGTTTTACATACACGACCAATCCCGTACCTTACGTTTTGTATTGCAACAATAAATACCGCAATAAATGTTTGATTATGTAGTTTTCACTAATCTGTAAACAATATTTAATCACAGTAGAAATTTTCAAGAGTATTAGTTTGGTAGTCAGTGTAATACTAGAGATACGAAAGTTAAACAATTTTCATGAAATCAGTCCGAAAGTCACCTCTGTCGAGGCCAATCGTTCGCATGCGTGTTTTCCGAGAGAGCAGGATTGAAAGAGCTTTCCCTAATCCAGCGATATCTTTTCATCTACAGGTGACGGTCTTCGATATTCAACGACCGGGCGTTCGTCCTGTGGGAGACAGAGACCAGAATTAAGGATGGCCTTTCAGTGGGAGAAACTCTCACCAGCGGAATTCCAACAGCTCCAGGATTTGGCAGCTTGTAAGTAAAAAGTGAAACAACTCGAGTGTTGCAAGAATGCTGTTGGCGCTGTTCGAACTCGGTTACGGAGGGAACAGCCCAGGGAAAAGTAAACTCGCGTAGCAGGTAGTTTGCTGCGACGCAGTATGCATTTGCAAATACAAATAACAAAAGTGGCCTGGCTGGTCGAGTGTTCGAGAGTTTCGAGAACGCAATACCTTTTACGTTCTCATCGGTATTTTGTCCTCGTTGCGCGGTCGAACATCGTAATTTAATAACTACCGGCTATTTTTGCCGCAATTTAAATAGTTTGCGTTTTCGTTGGGGGACAGTTCACGCCAGTTGTTTCTTCTTTGGTAATTCAACGAACGAAAGAGAACTCTGATACTGTGCTGGTTGAAGTTCGAAAATATATTTTCATTTCTTACTTCTATTATTGAATCGCGAATAAGTTGAAACACGCGAGGAAAATAAAAAATTCAAATTAATTCAAAGTAAGAAGAAAATGTCTTGCCACTCTTCTTTGAATCCATCTCCTTCAAATTGTTATTAATTACGACCCGTACGATCGTTCATCTTTACTTTAACATTTAATTTTGCAGTAGGTTAAAGCGTAATCCAGCTCCTGCATTACAAACTGAATCCTACTTTATACATACCGGAAAGCTTCCATTGATTAAAATTTCGCGCAACGTTCTGTCGCGATTCGTAGATACATCTCACGATCTGGAAACGAAAGGGTTTTACAAAAGAAAACCCTTTCCAATCACGTCATCTCCGCTGCAAAGCTGCAAAAAAAAAAAAACATAGTTGAATATTTACGGGGAGGGAGGATGTTCTCCAAGGGGATACGTTCTCCCATTTTCCTCTGTCCCTTTTTGCAATGATTGCAATAAATACTGCGCCTAATAGGGTAGTTCCCCGAAGGTATCGCGGCGGCGTCCTGAAATGACACACTCGTTGTTTATGGAATTATGGAAATTCGAGCGGCATCGTCCAAGAGGAAATGAAATTTATTCTGGACGTTACGAGGGATGTCTGTCCCCGACATGAATTCAAAATTTCGAGCATGTAGTTTTCTCGGACGCGAGACGTGTGAAGTACGGCGGGTAACTTATTAATATCGCTGGCAGAATATTTTGCGCGGCATGATTTCGAAAACAGTCGTGTGTGATTATTTAGAGAGAACGTATCATGCGGACGTACAATTCCTTGGGTTGAACGTTTCTTTACGACGAGTTTCTTCGATAAAAACAGAAAAGTAGTAGTAAAAAATAATACGCGACCAATTGAAGTAGAATAACGTGTACTTCACATCGCGTCTGACCATGGCTGTTCACTTCTACTGCGAACGGCACACTGCGTGTAAAACTAGTGCGCGCAAAACCGAGCGTAAAACTTGCGTGAATATAACTACGTACATAGATTATTTAACGAAATTCGCAGTTTACTGATAACCAATAAGCCAAAGTAAAATCCATATCCGAATAGTACAAGGAGGAAACTGGAGAGTTCGATAATTTCAGCCATGGTTCGATATCCCGCAGATTTCCTTGATATGTTATTCCCGGGGACATCGACGGCAATTTCCCGAGCTTTTCCACGGCGTAGCAGGTGATGGCCGATTTTCGGACGGAAGCTTGAATTTCCGACGGGGAACGTTAATCACGTGGCCATCGGGGGCTCGATCCATCATCGTCCCTCGTCAATCGGCCCGAAAATAGTCGACGTCCGAAAATATCCTGTCGGTTAAGTGCATTATGGCGTCGACTGGGGGTAGATTAGGCCAACGGTCTCCTATTATTAGTCAATTCCTCCGCGTTGTTTCCTCTGCAAACAGTAGAATCCCTGTTGTCGGATCGATCGATCGTTCTCTCGTTCGACCATCCTCCCTCCCTCCCTCCGTTCTCTTCCTTATAGGCGGCTGGCCAATAAACCGACGTACGCGTACCTTTTTCTGTGGTCCCCTTTTTTTGCCCCCCTAGTACGTTTGAGAACAGCTCGTCTCGACGAGCGAGGCAATATCGCGGTGATATCGCTTTAATTACCGCCGGAGATATCGTAGCTGTTGACACTCGCTTTCTTTAAAGTGGACAAAATTAAGGGGAGTTATTGTTATTCCAGTATCTAGGAATAGTTTAATAGAGTACTTGTATTCGCCATTTTTGAGCCGTCGAGAGATTTAAGCTGTTGAGAGAAAAAATTGGAAACAAAGAGAAATTGAATTCGTGTCTGATCAGGACTGTCCACTTCTACCTAGTACACCACGTGCAGAGGTGAGGAGTTGATTAATAGGTCTGATTGGTAACAGTATAATCTCCTTGATTACACTATAGAGTTCTAGATTATAATGTATATTATCTGTTGAATTCTATTGTATAGTGTAGTAGATTGTACTGTTACCAGTCAGACCAGCTAGCCACCTTCTAATCTCCGCATAGTACACATCTACCAGCAAGCACGTTATTGATACGTGTGCAAGTTATCGTACCGTATATCGACAGTACTTCATGTAAATTTGTGAAAATTTGTTACAATGTAAAATTAGTATTCGTTCAGGTTGAATCAGTTATTTGTTTTTTCTACAAGTAATTAAAGTTTTTACTTAAAAATTATTAAATGGCCTCCAGGCTATATTTTTATCATGGCAACGAGTGTTTCCATAGAATCTTCCTTCCGTTGTTTCCAAAAATCATTTCAGGGGAGAAAAAATGTTTTACTCTCGAAAATTGTCGACCTGTCCTTAAAATCCTGTTTGGACGTGAATTTATCGTCCCGTTAAAAATGTTATAGTTTCGAATTGATTGTTTCAGATTCCACGCGAAAGCTACAGGATGTCCTCACGGAATTTTGCGGTTCGAACACAACGCCCAGCGGTGCGCCGAAATATCATCCGGATGGGGTAAGTCGAACAAAAATTCCCTCTAACCGGCGCAACTAGACCGGTCATCCAATATTCGATTCGTTGCGCAATATCGCTCGTCTGTCAATCTGGCTTTACACCCCAAATATTTGAGTTTTTGATTAACGAAAGGGTCGTCGAATTACTGGAACCGATGGTTTGCCGAAAAGATCAACGCTGGCTGGGAACAATAGGCAACTGGTCAGCCACGGTCCAATTACGAAACCATATGGAATTGCAAATTACGCAAAATACAGATTTAAATTATGCAGAACGGGCCACATTTTGAGATACTTATTCAAAAATTCTATATCAATTAAAACAAAAAGTAGTTTAAATATTTCTAAATCGATCTACAGGAAAATTAAGTTACATACTAAGAAGTCAGAAAATATAAACATCTAAGGAAACAAAAAGCTTACCTTTTCGTACAAAAACACCTTTGAATAAAAATTATTCCAAAACCTATAGCAAACCTTTTTCGTGATAAAAGAAGCTTCCTTTTGAAGCGTATTTTAAATGCACCTCTTCTTTAATCAGATATAAATAACGATCTCGAGACGATCATAATTTGATCATCCATCGAATTCCACGTCTTTTCTTCGCGCAGACATTCGATAGAACGCTGGATAAACCGAGATCATAGTCGGAGTGAATACAAAAGTCCACAAAGCGTGAAAAGCACTGCGTGAAAGGTGCAGTTGTAAGAATCGCGTTTGCCTTGCACGACACTGGGTTCCATCGAGGATCGTTGTTGAACTGTTCGATGGTGGGTTACATCCGCGTATCCACGTTCGGCATACTCGGATAACAGAGCGTTAGCATGCACCAAGGAAACACGCACCCCATAAAATCCAGAACTATTCCTGTGGCTATTACGGTGGTAATACGACTGGATCCATGCGAACAGGTGCGAGTTATTGCGAGTTTATACCGCACGCTGTGCGTGTTTGTGTTTGTGCGTGGGCGTGTGTAATCGTTCAGCCTCGAATCGACGTGACCGCATACAAACGTTCGTCGTTCGTCGAAAGGATCCAACGTTCGCTTAAGCTTCGGTGCTGGGGGAATTCGACGAGTTGTTTATTGTTCGTCGAGGATGTTATTGTTCAACGATAGCTTCTAAACTTTCTCGACGAGTTTGAAACCCGTCGTAAAAGTTTTTCGTAGTTCCGCTGCCGAACGACACTTCTATTATTGTCGGGAGAAATTTAATTGATCGTTTATTTGGAGAGGATAATGAAGTTGAGGTAGGATTCATTGTCTGCTCAAGGTTATTCCCACCATGCACGTTTAACCACGCCCACTGCTTGGCTACCACCGCCTTGCCGTTTCGCCACGCTCGTCGCCCTATCCAAATCCGATACGATTTGGATAGGGCGATATATATATATATATATATATATTTTTTTTTATATATATATATATATATATATATATATCAGTGTACGTATATATATATATAATTACGTACACTTTGACAAAACTTGAGGTTCGCGTGGATGGAACCGCGGACTTCGAAGTTTAATTAAAAAGAAGACGTGCATAGAAACCCAACGCTCCGTCGAAGCACGTCACGCTGTCACTGTTGCGAAGGCTGCTTACAAAACGGCAGGTACAATACCTTTTGAAACTTTGATCTTACAAAACTCGGCCTCGCGTTTCTATAAGGTAGCACGAGCTACCTAGGCCATGCGTGGTCTAATGCAAACCTAAACCAGCGTGCTCTTCCTCAAACTGGCGATGGTGGTTGGCTCAACTTTCTCCAATGTTTACTTCGGTAAACAAGTCGTCAACCGATACTCGATCATCCACGTGACTGCTGGCTGCTAACTGTCGTCTGACATGACGCCAAATGGATTTAACTCCCAAAAAATTGTCCAATTTCCAAGGATCCGGCTCGAGGATTAATTGTCGCCCCGAAACACGAGGAGGAATAATTTTTATCGGCTCGCAGTGTCAATAATAATCGGTTGTTAGGGGAATTTATGATGCCGTCTCGCGCAGGAGGATGAAACTATAACGACGGGGTTGTTATCGCGGTTGACACGGTGGCTGATAATGTTCCTTGCGTGATGGATTGTCGGTTGGCCACAGAGAAACCGTGAAAGACGAGTATACATCGTTATCCAGCAACAGGATAACGATCCTTTATATCGAACTCGCTCCCACCTTTCTATTTACTTACTTCCACGGTTACGTCACAACAGCTCGAACGGATGTTGCGCAATTGACTCCTAGACATCGATCTTCGTTCTTTTTCTTTCGTTAATTAAGGAACAATACGTCCCGCGAAAATCCTGTCTGTTCCATACAATCACTAATTCGGTAGATTCTACTCTGAACTATTTTTTTTTTTTCATTTATTTAAGATAAAATATTCTTCATTTGCTCTCCCATCAATCGCGTAAATCTCCTCCACTCTATTTTTATGAAGTAATAATACTAAAATTATCCCGAATCACCCAGAATTCCATCCGTGGACGAAAAATGCACGGACGCTGTATTTTACGAGTGAAACGAGGCGAGACACCAGCAATTTCCAGTCGATAAGCTCCAGTTACGGTAATTCCACGGCAAGTATATCGTCGCGGCACGCAAATGCATCGTTTGTTACGTAGCTGGACGCTTTCGTCCTTTCCGTTCAGCAAGATCACCGGCCACGGGTCATAATTGAACATGCCAGGCATAGTTAACCGTTCGCGATCGACCTCAAATCTCCATCTCTGACCGCTACCGAGAAAATTCAATTTACTCTGTCACGTCTTCCACTAATATATGTAATATTAATTACGCTTGCTCGAATTAGAGTGCTCAGAACTCTGCTGCCGTCCATTAAGATGCTCCCTGTACACGGTAACGATGACGGTGAACAATCCCCGATGGAAGTTCTTGATCGATGATACGAGCATTGCGACTGTTTCCTGTTACTTAAGATGGGGATGATCTAGAAGTAGCTGAGGTGGCATTGTTCTCGTGGAACTTCTCTGGTTCATCAGTTTAGAAGGACTTCGTACAATTCTATGATTTTAGAATAAATCACTCCTGAGTGGAATTTGTCATTAATTTCTTCTGAGATAATACAGTATCAGATTTTTATAAAATTCTACAATAAGCATACATAATACATATGTCAATCAATTTTTTTTTTTAAATTCTCTGCACATGCACATACCAGTATTGGAGCCCTCAACTTTTTCATACCTCGACTGTGGCTCAGAAGATCGTTAAAAAAATGCTCCCACACGTCGCACATAGATGTTACTATTATTTTTGTTTTATTTGACGAAGTAGTACATGAGCGTTAACAAAACTTATGCGTTTCTTTTCGTAATTCAGAGTTCCGCAAGTTTTTCTTGATTACGTTTCGAGCGCGTTCGAAGGCGTCCTTCGACGCCCGTTCCATTTATTGAGCGCACTGGAAAAATAATGAGATTGTACAGATGGTTGGCATCGATAAATGAGGAATCCTTGATAAAGTCTGACAGGAACAAACATAACCTTTTAACCCCCCGGCGACGAACGGACTCCGGCCATTTCTTTAGATTGTAGAGTCGAGCCGTTGGCGCTTATATCGCACCTTCCCCTTCTTGACTTTCATGCGACAGGACTCTCGCAAACTTGATCACCCCGATTCTAACGTTCTGGTTGGCTGAATATTCGACGGCGTTGAATTTTTCATACGTTCATATTCGCTCCTTCGTTCGCGCGTTCCCACCGCGAGACAAAAGCGTATTTATTCGATCTACGTCGTCTGGAACCTTTCCGTAGATTGTGGAAAGCTTAGGAACTTTGGATAACAGGTTACGAGCCTCTGCTTGAATTTCACCCTCTCATCGAGCTGCTCAGGCTTTCAGCTTTCTTCTCCCGTTCCACTGTTTCAATCCTATCCAATATACGATACTTGTTGTCCTTCCTCTTCAATCGTACCATTCGCTCTTCTATTTTCCCTCGATTACCTTGAACCTTCGCGATACCAAGCCTTTCTTCCGTTACGTGAACCGAGGGGAAGATGCTCTATCGTTTAATAAAAAAACTGTGAATCTGTTGGATCGTTGCATAAGTTTTCATGTTGTAACAACGGAATGGAAACGGCATATAGAAATGTATAATATACCGAATGCGGTGCTTCTGCGATGATAAAATGCTACAGGGTTGCATTTTCCAAAGTGGAAGGGTGCAACGTATAAGTAGAGTAGAGGACGTGTTATCAAACATATTTAATGATGTTACTTGAATATTTCTTTCTACTAATGCAATGATTACCTTAGTTCCATATCTGTTTGATCAGATTTGCCATGTTTCGTTTAAAATCGTTTAACTTGCGATGCGGACATTCTTTTTTTCAAGAAGACCCTTGCATTTCTATAAAATTTAATTTACACGTGGATAGTACATATTAAAGCGCCTAATGTATGGAGTCTCGAAGCCTCCTCTCGCCAGATTGGTTTAACTTCCTCGCGCAAGGCGGAAGCCCGCTCCGAAAGAATTCCGTTGCGAAAATCGAAGCCGATTTTGCGCGTTCAACGACGTGAGAGGCGCGAGCCAGTAAGCCGATTTGCAAGCCGCGTTTCGATGGAGCCACTCATATTTCCGTGCGGCGAATCATTTTCGAGGCGATTGTATTAGTCGACACTCGACGAGGGCCAACCGCTCGCATTTAGTCGACTAATGCCTGGAATACGCGACCAAACGAACCGGCACAAATGTACTGCGCGATCCTGCTTTTAACCGACTTTGAAAAGGAGGAGATTATTCAATTCGATATGTATATTTTATTTATTTTTTTTTTAATTCCCAATCTTCTCCTCTCGCGAATTTAATTCCGAGCTCTTCAGGAGGATCCTATAGACGTTCAACTCGCCATTCTTCGAGGGTTTTGACTTGATCGCTCGTGAAACATTTGTTCTCTACGTTTCTGAGAAATTTAAATCAGATTACATAGACAATTTGTTTATGGCTACTGGAAGTGCTTTTCATAGAATTGTTGGAGATTGTTGATT